CTCGGCCCCTGAGTCTGCTTGCAGACACTCTAATCCACTCAGCTATTCTGCCGGCCCTTGTACTGAGAATTTCACACTCTAGCATGCTGGTCATTTCCTAATGCAGATTTTTGTAACTAGTAGTACTATAGCAAATCAGAACTATTTATCTTTGAAGCTATTACCCTTTTTATTTCTTTCATCTCCCTGTTATTAGTGATCATGATTCTGCTTTGCTCTTCTATAATTTTAAAACTTTTTCTGCTAATGTGGGAAGGTGCTTAACAGTATTTATGTGTGTCTAGCTTATTTTCCTAATAAAATTGCTTCTACTTCTATTCATGTTGGTCGATGTGACATTTGTCTGTGTCTGGTATTTCACCAATACAATAAAAATTGAGAACCATTCATGTTGCCACATACAATTCCAACCAAATTGATGTACTTGCCCCATTTCTTCCACCAAAAATCTTTCTACAGTACTTCTGTGGAATTTGGCAAGGCGTCTGATGTGTGCGCAGAAAACATAAGAGAGATAAACGTGCAAGGTGCCCCCGAAAATGACCTGTGCTACCACATTTTTAAGAATTATAAGGCAATTTTCTTGGGAAAACGTGGCTGTATTTCAAGAATATCACAAATAGATCAGTGGAATGGAGCATACTGCAGGGGTGAGCGCAGGCCTCCCACCCCGCCCCGCTCACGGCACCCACGTACTGCCTGCCACTCCAGTCACTCGTCCCCAAGCTGCTCCCTTCTTCACAAATAAACAAAATCTGGGTTCAGCCCTGAGTCATCCTAGTGGCTAGACTTAGGACCCCCTGGCTCCCCAAAACTTCAAATACGCTTTAGTATCTTTATTGTCTCCGTGGTTGGCAGTGGAAGTGGTAGACTGGAATTTCCTTGACAGGATTCTGATAACTCATCCAGGGAATTACAAATAGAAACTTCCTGGACTGAGATAGAAATCAGAAAGTTCTCTGTATAAAAAAGTGCAGTATGTTGTTCAATAGAGGAGTACGAATTGCAATAAAAGTGGTATCTTTGAGTGTTTTAAAACTAAGTAATTCTTAATTTCAACTTTGGAAAATGTGCGGCTAGGCAATTTCCAAAATTTTGTGACTTCAAATAAACATGACTTCAGTATTATTACCCCCTATGATCTTTGAAGTTCAAACTTATTATGTGGCTTACGATTACTCTTGTAGATATTTTATGTTTATATGTAGACCTTTCATTTAGAATAGCACATATTTAATAATATAAATTTAAATATCTTAACCACCTGCTCCTGTTGCAGGAACACTTAAGGCCATTTTCTCTGGTTTTTAGTGCTTTTTAAAATATTGTGTTTATTAACCATATCAACTTCTAAAACTGACATGTATTCATACAATTGTATCACATTGTGTATAAGATTTTCCAATACTGGAACTATTTAATTGGAGATTATTTTGCACTTTTATACATGTGCCACATTATGGACTACCCTGGAGAGAGAGGAGTAGATTTCCGAGCAGTTTCTTTTTCCCATACTCCAAAAATACTTTTCAATGCTCAGTTGGGATATGTACAGTTTACAAAATTCACTACACATCAAATCAGCCTGATGATTAATTTTCTTAATGAAATAAAGCACATTATTAATGAAGTGGAGGAGCCCAGCAGAGAGCAAGGAGGTGCTGAGGAGCTGCAACCCATTAGAGAAGGGAACGTGAGCAACAGTCAGGGGCGGGGAGAGGGAGGGGGGGAGAGGATTGACACGGGCGATGCTCCTCCTCCGGCCCTCACGGTGCGCGCATTCATTAAGTTCTGCAACATGGACTCATGCAAATAACATTTTTGGAAAAACTTCATATCTCTTCCAAGATCATGGCTATAGGGGCATATTGTAACAAGACTATTAAATGTTTGATGCAGTTCATGTTCAAGAACTCCCAAATCCCTTACGAAAACCAGATGCGTTTTGGTAAGTTTTTCAGAAAACCTGAAAGCAGCTTTACACTGCCTGATAAATAAATAAATAAATAAATAAATAAATAAATAAATAAATAAATGACTTCCTTCCCTGGGATTTAACATTGAAGGAATAATAGCAATAGAAAACAGCAATTGCCCTGGAGATATCTAAATAAAATTAAGTCTTGCATACTTATTCCTATAATGTCCATTGTTTAGGATGCCAGTATAGTAAAATTGCAATAATAAATAGAAGCAAGGTCATTTTTTTTCCTCATGAAGACAACAGTTTTTAGACTATTTTGTTGTAGTTATAGAAGGGTATCCGTAAGTATGGCAGAGAAGACTTAGTCTTGGGTTTATATCTACTCTTTGTAATTAAATCTATTTTATAGTTTAAATTGAAACAAGCCAGGAATAACTCTTGGAATGAATCTGATAATCATAATGACTGGTCCCAACTACTCATCTAAAATGAATTCTTGTTCCCTTGGATGATAGCTGAGCAGAAGCATATAGAGGAATGTGGTACAGTCTCTCCTTTTTGAAACTTACAAATGGGATTTAAAATATAATTTCTTGAATATTCCCAAAGCTTCTGACGATGGTGACACTGGTTTTTTCTTAATTATGTAGAGCATCTTTGATTTCCCTGCTGAGGAATTTTGCGTACACAGCCCAGCTGCTTCCCTTTATTACCACTTTTAACTAACTGCACAAGCATCTTGATGTAATTATCTTATCTAATGTTTTAGGCTAAAGAAATCAGAATATTTAAAGTTATAGTATTATCTAT